AGATAGATAGATAGATATACCATGCTGTTTTTGTTACTATTGCTCTGTAGTATAGTATAGTGATGCAACCTGCTTCATTCTTCCTGCTAAGGATTGCTTTGGATATTTTGGGTCTCTTATTTTCCCCGATAAATTTCATGACTTCTTTTTCTATTTCTATGAGGAATGTCATTGGGATTTTGATTGGAATTACATTAAGTCTATATAGTACTTTTGGTAGTATGGTCATTTTGTCATTAATTCTGCCTATCCAAGAACAAGGGAGATCTTTCCATCTTCTAAGGTCTTCTTTAATTTCTTTCTTTTTGTTGTATAGTTTTTGTTTGTCCTTCAGTAGAAGAATGGACAAAGAAAATGTGGCATATATGCACAATGGAATACTATTCAGCACTGAAAGAGAATAAAGTCATGGCATTTTCAGGTAAATAAATGGAGCTGGAGAATATAATACTAAGTGAAGTTAGCCAGTCCCCCCAAAAAACCAAATGCCAAATGTTTTCTCTGATATAAAGAGGCTGATTCATAATGGGGTTGGCCAGGGAGCATGGGAGGATTAGATGAACTCTAGATAGAGCAAGGGGGAGGTAGGGGACAGGAAGGGACATGGAGTAGGAAAGGTGGTGGAACAAGATGGACATCATTACCCTAAGTATGTGCATGAAGACATGAATGGTGTGACTCTACAACCAGAGACATGAAAAATCGTGCTCTGTATGTTTATTATGAATAGAAATGCATTCTGCTGCCATATATAACAAATTAGAATAAAAAGATAATATAAAAATCAGAATGTTTGGCATTTCTTTGGTCCTCAATAAATGATATAAATTAATTTGAAGTTAGAAAGACTATAAAAGGGGGTCTTATCTGCAGAAGGAGTAGAGTCAACTCCTAGGTCCATTTCAGCTTCAAAATGAAATGAAATGAAACATGCAGAAACAAGAAACAGGAAAGAGAGAAGAGAGGGAAGAAGTAACGGAGAGAGGAAGGGAGGAAAGGAAGAAAGGGAGGATTCATTTCCCAAGAGGAAACCTCCTTTGAAGGTCCCTTTGCAGTTGGAATAATAATTAAAAAAACAAGAAAGTTGGAGTCGGTGCTGCCCGTCTTGGATTCGCTGAGCACATACAGGAAGAGGCACGGCACCTCTTCCTGAGAGGACCCCAGGCCCTTGTTGCCCACCAGAAAGGGTCCTGCTGCGGCCCCCTGTCCCGCCACACTCTGCACCCGGAGGCACACCCAGACCTAGAAGGTCCTCTTCATTCAGGGGGTCCAGATGCCCTGTTTCCCAGCTGGTTGCTGAAGAGTGGGACCGGCAGCCCTGAGGCCCACGCTGCTGTAGGGTGCGTCACTCCCTCGTGCTTCAGGGGCACAGCACATCACCTCGTCCGTGTGTCCAGACACTCAGATGTTGCCTCAGATGCCCGTTTTCCCAAAGGCACGCGCTGGCCACGTTTATTCAGCGTCAGGATGCGTGATCTCTGGGGTTCCCCCAGTGAGGATTTGGGGAGCAGGGTGCTGTCAGCCCTGGTTCTGGAAGTGGGTACAGATGGCTCTCAGCCAGGTAGATGGGCAGCCATGGCTCTGGATTCTCACCACTCTCCCAGGAGTTGGGCAGCTGATCTTCCCAGAGGCAAGAGGACCCCAGACAAAGACTAAGATTCAAGGCAGAGACCGGACATGAGGGCCTTGCTGGATTACTGGGAGCCGTTGAAATGGAGAGCCCAACTGGTTAAAGAAGAGAGAGGAAACTGAGCCCAGTTTCAAATTTTTATTTTGGGGGTAACAAGGAGAGCACAAGAATCTGGGGCGCCCTTGGACACCAAACTCTGAGTCTGACGAGCAGGAAGTGTGATGAGTTGACCATCTATCCATATCAGACAGAGCCACAGAGAATATGGAGTAGAATGTTCTCAGAAAAGAGAGGAAACCCTGCCTTTATTCACTTACTCTATTATTTTCCAACAGCCTACCGTGTTCTATGGATGCAAAGTTGAAATACTGATGTCACCCTCCCTGAGCATGATATTCAAGCCAGTGACCACTGTCAGGAGCCAGTACTCTGACAAACAGCACAGGCTCACGATGGCATGAACGACAAGTGTCTGTTCTGCTCAGGTGACTTAAGGTTGCCTGGGAGTTGGCTGATCTCGGCTGGGCACATCTGGGTGGATCTAACTGCAGCCTGAGTCCGGGTCTCCTCTGCGTGTCTCTCTTCCTTCTTGGATCTGAGGGCCAGCCCAGACGTGTTCTCATGGCAACGGCAGAGGTGCAGGAGGGCAAGGAGAAAGAATGACATGATGTCTCTTTAGCTCATGGTTCGAGACGTTAACTCACATGTGTTCCCTGATTCATCAAAACCAGTCATGTGACGGGGCCTGAAGTCGGAGGGCCAGGGTCTCTACTGGGGGGAACTGAGAAGTCACTTGGCTACCCGGCAGCTGCTGAGAGGGGCGAAGAACTGTGGCTAATAATTCAAACGTGAATCACCCACCTCGATCAAGCATATTTGTGTGATTAGATCTTGTTTTAGTCAGCATTTTTGCCATTGTGACTAAAAGACCTAACCAAAAAAATTTTAGGGAAGTAAAAGTTTATCTGGGAGCTCATCCTTTCAGGGGTCTCAGTCCACAGATGGCCAACCCACTGCTCTGGGCCAGAGGGGAGGCAGACCATCATGGAGGAAGGGCATGGCAGAGGAAAGCAATGGGAAATATGGCACCAGTAAGCAGAGAGTGTCTACTGCACTCACACGACAAAATGTACACCCCAAAGGCATTCCCCCAGTGACCCACGTCCTCCAGCCACACCCTACCTGCCCTCAGTTACCACCAGTTAATCTGTTATCAGGGGATTAATGCACCCATTAGGTTAAGGCTGTCGGAACCCAACCATTCATCCCCACAGCTTCTTGGATTGTCTCACACATGAGTTTTGGGGGGACACCTAATATCAAAACCATAGCATAGATCACTAAATGCTGGTAAAATGGACCTTCCGAGAAGAAATTTGGGGAGTGATAAAAATTGGAAAAGTTCTAACCATCTTTTCCCATACCCTAGCATATCATTTCGAAAATCCTGAGGGGATGAGCTTCCCATTTTGGAGAATTGGAGAATCTGGTCTGGGGAAATGGTTCACCAAATCTGGTGCTTAGGGAATGGCAGTGAATCACTGGGATCGTTTGGAGAGCATGGGAACATGTGGAGTCCAGGCTCCCCGTCCCATCCAGGCCACAGGATCAGAGCCTGAGATGAAGGCTGGCCATCCACATTGCTTAGAAAGTTCCCCGGGTGAAATGCGTGCATGTTAGGGTTTGATACTTGAAAATTGACAAAGCAATAAGTCTAGGAGGGAAGGAAACCCAGGAGCTGTCTCTCAGGAAAATGCTCCCATGTATCCACCTGCAGGTTGCAGGGGTGGCCCTCGAGGCCACACTGAACGGACAATGCAGCAATGGAGTCCTGAGAAACAACAAGACTTCACCATGCCTCAGAGAAGAAGACTGCATCAGGCAGGGCTTGCTCCAGGTGTGAAGGTCGCTCTGCAGATAGAAGCTGCCATCAGGGAGCAGGTGAGGGCATTCACCCTCAGGAGAGGACCTTGCCAGTGTCCTAGATGACCATCCTAGAGGTGCCCACCTCTCTGGCCCCAGTTTGGAATGATAACATTCAGAAGTAGGGTTGGGAAATACACCAGAACAAACGTAACTTATCTTAGGGTAAGCTGGCCTTGCTAGAGAGCACCTTAATCAATTTTGAAGGGCCTATCATGAGCAGCAGTCACAGAGGGACACAGGACCACGACTGAGCTGCAGACCTCAGTGTGTCGAGGGTCAGGTTTGGGACACAACCATGATGCAAAGTCTGGATAAGTCAGAGGCAGGTGGCATGGTGACAAGTGGGTGCTGCCTGGTGAGCCTTGTGCATCCTGTGCCTAAATAAATCCTGGGATTATCTTGGGGATAATTTAGTTATAATTGCCTTATAAACTTAGGATTTAAAGACTTAATTTGTCAAATGTCAATGCTTATTTTCATGACTTTGTTTTTTGAACCGTTTTGGCATTTCTCTATTTGAATATATTTGGGGTGGGGAGGTGACTGCAGATAAATGGAAGAATATGGAAGAATGTCACCTCTCCTGACTTCAAGCAGACCCTCCCACAAATGTCCCAAAAGCACTGGTGCAGAAAGCTCCCGCACCTGTGAATTCTAGCTCCAAAGTCTGAATCCTTCTTGTCTGGCATCCGCAGTGTCCCACGAGCAGATACCACTTACAGGAGGTCAAGGCCTGCGTGGGTGGATTTGAACTCTAAGAGCCCATGCCTGCCCGTCGGTGTGGCTGGACAAGATTCTGCGCACAGAAGGCCCAGCAGGTCTGTAGGTGTGAACAGAGTAGCTCACTTGGCAGCAGAGTGGTTGACCTTTCCTTAAAGAACTTAAACGTGACAGCCATGCACTTTGAGTGACAGCTCACAGGTTCTCGGCCTCACCTGAGGCTCCCTCACTTCCCATGATCATCAATACACTGAGGAAACTCAGGCCATGCTGTTCCCATGAATTTTCCAGCTTTTTACCCAAACACTGGTTCCTGACGGGGGAGACAAAAAAATTACTGTAGCACACATTGGGTGGACGGTAGAGTGAGGCGTTTGTAGGGTGTTTGAGTGGAGGCAGGGCCACTAAAATAAAAGGAGCCAGAGTCTCCTTCATTTTATCAGTTTTGGTTCACCTGAGGTTTATCTGTCAGGCACTGAGAGGTGCTTCCTTCAGTACAATAGCACTTTTGTTTTTTGCAAATACAGGTGAAGATAGTTGAATTTTGTTCCTGTTATTTTAAAGCATGCTCACTTAATAAATAGTTATAGATGCCCAAATATGTCCTGGGCACTGTTCTTGGTTCTTGAGACACATCAGTGAACACATCAGACAGTGGCCCTTGCTCTTGGGGAGATAGCCCTCTATCAGAAGGAGCAGGAAATGAACAATAAGCAGAATAAATAATTTCTATGGTTTATTGATGAGGGTGGAGGCTATGGAAAATAATGGGCATGTGGAGCAGAGGGGTGGGGATCCAAAGTACCAGATGGTGGCTCCCAGAGGGGAGGCCTCGGGAGAGGGTAGCATTCAGGCAAAGACCTGAAGGAGGTGAAGTGTGAGCAGGCAAGTGTCTGGAGAGGCCGAGTTCCTGCTGAGGAACAGCCAGTGTGCAGGCAGCGTATGACAGGAAGCTCCACGCTAGCATTCACCTTCTCTGCTTGTTTTGTGAGAAATGTGCCAGGCTTTGAATCTTCCCTATCTAGTGCGCCATGGTAGGCCCTCCAGGTGTCCGCCTGAAGAACACTAGGACTTTGACCTTTGCAGAGCATTTTAAAAATAAAAAAAATAAAAACAACACAATTTCATGGGGAGTGGGGAGACGGTCCTTATCTTGGTGGTGGGTACATGAATGTATGACAATTCATAAAACTATATGGACCCCCGAGGTCTATTTTATTCCATGTTAGCTTAAAACATAAGTATTTTGAAAAGCACTTCAGTACATTTTATTTTGGTTCTTAAGACCTATGGCAACGTATTGATATTCACGGTTTTCAGATGAAGAGCCTGTGGTCGAGAGGTTGCTCAGCTGCTAGTGGCAGAGCGAGGTCTCGAAGTCAGATCCATTCCATAAGCTCGTTCTCGTATCAATACTGTAGTCCCTACCACAAAGCCTTCCAAACTAGAGTAACCACACTGCCTCTGGCACTGCCTGAAAACCAGCAAGATAATGACCACACCTGACACCGGTTGCTCACCATGCGCCAGGCTCTGGGTACCTTGCCAATACCAAGTCCCTTAATTCTCACAAGAGCCTCTGAGACATGGACTGTTCTGTTACCTCCATGTACACATGAGGACCCTGAGGCACAGGGAGGCCGAAGAGCTTTTGTGAGGCCTTGTGTGTAGTCAGTGGCAGATCTGAAACCCACAGGAGCTGTTCCTAGGGCTATAAGCTCAGCCTCCAGGGGTGCTGCTTCTGTTGCCAAGCACTGAGGCTGTGGTGGCCCTCACCCAGGGCTCGGGGAAGAGCTTTGAAGGCTCCCTTTTAGGTAGGACTTGGCTTTATGGTAAGTGTAGAATGGGATTTTTACAACCAAGTCTTACCAATAAGTACCCTCCCTTCTTTTTTCATGGTGCCTAATATTCCACCACTGGAGTCAGTTCACTGGGCCTCGAAGACCAAGTGGGAGGGTTGCTTGACATTCTTATGCCTCGTACTCATACCTTTGGAAGAGTCCTGCTAACTGGTGTGATGGCACTGAGGTGGGCAGAGCATCTGGCCTCACTCTTCTTCACCCTCTCTTGCCCCGGAGTTCCCATCTGTGTCCAAGGCTCCTCTGAGTTAGCACTTCCAATGGTGAGATCCTGCCCAGAGGTCTGATCTTTGGGGGTGAGGTGCTGAGAGAGGCCAGGAGGGAGGAAGATACATCTGGCAAGACATACAGGATTCAGAAACAAACCTCACAACATTCTCAAATAACCAAGGAGCGTGTCTATGAGAACGGATCCCAAGGGAGCCGTTCAGTGGAAACATCCTAAGGTTCTGTGTGCGATGCAGCTAACGCCTGAGGTCACTGGGGTTGAGGGCACCCGGGCCTAGAAGCCTTTTTGGTGCTCACAGAATATGTGGGCATTAATGACAATCTAGCAAGAGAGGCCAGGGCGAAAGCCTGTACCCTGGTCGGACTGAAAAATGCCACCAGGGACCATGATAGTGTGTCATCAGCATTTGCATAACTGCTCATGGCTCAAAAGCACTTGGGGGCATTCTTTCATTTGATCTTCCCAGCAGCCTCATAGAGTTCAATAATAATAAGCCATGGTAATGAATAATAAGAGCAATTAATAGGCAGAGTGCATGTCATTCCAGGCTCTGCACTGTGACATCTGTCACCTCACTCCGTGTTCACATTCATTGGCAAAGAAACCATTCTTTTTATCCCTATTGGAAACTGAGGCACAGAGGTCAATAAGTCTCCTAGCTTTGCATTAGGAAGCGGCAGAGCCAGGAGGGAACCCAGGCCTGCCTGTCCCTGGAGCCCGCCCTCTCATTAACTCTCTCCTGGCCTCCCTGGGCATCATGAGCCAGGCAGTGAGGAAGAGGGGATCTGGTGGGATCCGGGAAGCAGGCAGAGGGAAAAGCCCCATACATGAAAGACACGGATTTGGGGAAGGGCAGGACTCATTGGAAGAGGTCGAGATGGAGAGTAAAAGGGAAACACTAAAGAAAATGGCAGTGACCGAACCGTGAAGTCCTTCTGTGTTCGGGGCTTCCGTGTAAGGGCTGCAGTCTAGAAAGCTCTCTTCAGCTCTTCTGTGGAAAGGTGATTGACCGGCTGAGGCTGGAAGGAGGGAGGGAGGCTGTGGCAACAGGCGATGGGGAGAGCTTTTAGCAGCATGAAATGATGGAGAGGAGGGGCCAGTGTCAGAGATGTCTGGGGAGATGGAATTCGTGGGACCTGGTGTCTCAGTGGCTGAAACCCACGAGGGCTAAGGAGGCGCCACATAGGAGACTCGGGTTTCTGGCCTGAGTTGATGGGTGCTGCTACTGTTCCCGCAAGTGGGAAGACCAGGCACATGAACGCACCTGAGAGTGAGCAAGTAAATGAACCTGGGGGGTCGAGGAGACACAGGAGAAGAGATGTCCACTTTCCTGTCTGGGAGATCCGTTGCTCATCTCTCACCAAAGTAGCTAAAGCACCCGGGATAGCTTGTCTTCTTACTAAGCTCTTGTCACCTTGACACAAAACCTGTAACCCGGTGGTTTTATTTCTGACTCCTGGATTCACCACCAAGTCTGAGGTGTCTTTCAACCTTCTTTTACCCTGTGTATATACACTACTACCCTATGCAGTCTCTCTTCACACCTCCAAGAAGCTAGTTTGCAAACGTTGTCTGATAAATTGTTGGGATTTATTTTTCTTATCTGGTATGGCCACTCCTGCCCTCTAGTGGCCAAAGGAGGGACAGCATGAGCTGGGTATCCAGGGACCTCCCTGGGTCTATCCCCCCCGTGTTTCTGTCCTGCTTTTCCCATGGTCTTCCTCACCAGAATCCCTCTCATTCACTCCTTGTCCCAGAATCAGATTACGCTTGGTATGAAAAAGATAACTAGTGTCCTAATTGTCACTCACAAGAAGTGAGAGACTTACAGAAGAGGAAAAGACTTTGGAGATTACATTATTCAGCTTCTTTCTCTTACACTTAAAAACTAAATGACTGCTGCAACCCCATAACTTGCCTGGCCTCCTCCAATTACAGTCCTTCCTGACCTTTTGTGGATACATCCCAAGACCCTCAGTGGATTCCTGAAACCACAGATGATACTGAATCCTATGTTTTCCCAATGCACACCTATGATGAACTTTAATTTATAAATTAGGCACAGTAAGAGATTAACAACAGTTAACTAATATTAAAATAGGACAATTATAACAATGTACTACAATAAGTCATGTTAATATGATCTCTCAAAATTTGTACTGTGTTTTCATCTTTTCAGTTAAAAGACGCACTTTATAGCTTGTCACGGGCACATCTGAATTGCCAGCTTCACCGCTCTTCCACTTTGCAGCTACTGTTAAGTAAAATACTGGTCCCTTGAATACAAGCACTGAGATACTGTGATAGTCAATCTGATAACCAAAAGGACTACTAAGTGACTAACAGGAAGGTAGCATATACAATGTGGATACACTGAGTGGGATGGAGCCGCAAAGTGTAAGATGTCGTCACATTACTCAGAATGGCATGCAGTGAACCTAGACTGTGGCAGAGATGTTTGGGGAGATTGAATTCATGGGACCTGGTGTCTCAGTGGCTGAAACCCATGAGGGTTTATTTCTGAATTTTAAGAATTGTTTATTTCTGAAATTTTTCATTTAGTAATAACTTTGGACTACAACTGAAAGGGATTGATTGAAACCACAAAAAATGAACCTGCATATGGTGGGGGTGATGATGAACATATTACCCTCAGTTTCTTTCCCACACTGTGGCCAGCTAGACTAGATCAGGGATTGTTCTTATTTGTAATCCTTTCCCAACTGGATTAAAACCAGATTCTTCCCACTATGGTCTTTTGTGATCTGATCCCTCTCTACTTCTGTAAATACTTTCTTCTAAGAAATCTTATTTTTACTCCCCAGTAAAGCTCATCTTCCTTCTCTTATTCAAATGTGCCTGACCCTTTCCTACCTGGAATCTTTGCATATGGGCTTCAATTTTTCCATTCTTTATATCTCAGCTTACAGTTTACTTCCTGGAAGAAATGGATTGTTTCTTGTTACTTTTAACATGATGTTATACAGTGAAAACTCTAAAGACTCCCTAAAAATGTTAGTACTGATTTTCAAACTTAGCAAAGTTGTAATTCACTAAAAAAAAAAAAAGCAAAAATCTGCAGAATTTTTTCACACTAACAGTGGATTATCTGAAAATGAAAGTAAGAAACTAACTCTATTTCAGAAGAGCATAGAAAAATAAAATGCTTTTTAAAAAAATATTCTTTAGTTGTTAATGGATCTTTTATTTATTTATATGCAGTGCTGAGGATTGAACCCAGGGCCTCACACGTGCCAGGCAAGCGCTCTACCACTGAGCCACAACTCCTGCCCCCTAACATACTTTTAAATAAATTTAATCAGTGAGGTGAGAATATCTGTGTACTGAAGACTATAAAATATTAATGAAAACGTTGTAGATGACTCAAATAAATGAAAAGATATCCTATGTTCATGGATTATATGAATTAACATTGTTAGAGTGTCCATACCACCCAAAGAGGTCTACAAATTCAATACATTCCAAAGTCATTTTTCATCAAAATAGGAAAAAAAATTCTAAAATTTGTATCATACCATAAGAGACTGTGAATAAGCAGTGAAATCTTGAACAACAACAACAAAAACCTGAATGCATCATATTATCTGAATTCAAAATAGATTACAAAACAATAGTAATCAAAATAGCATGTTGCTGACAGAAAAAGAGGTATGCTGACCAACCAATCAGAGCTCAGTTGAGAGCCCAGAAATAAACTAATGCACTTATGGTTATTTTTTAAAAAACAAACTTGCCAAGAACATATGCAATGGAGAAAAAAAAATAATCTCTTCAATAAAATATATTAGAGAAATCAGATATCCCTAAACAGAAGGATAAAATTGGATCCATATATCATACCATATATAAAAATCAAATGGAAATGAACTAATACTGGTGTAATACCTGAAATTGTAAGACTACCAGGAGAAAACCATGACTTTGGTTTAAGCAATGACTTCTTGGATATGTTCCCCTAAGCACAGGCAACAAAAGCAAAAATAAACAAACGGGATTGCATCTGACTAAAAATCTTCTGCACATCTAAGGAAGGAATTAATAGGGTGAAATGACAACCTATGGATTGAGAGAAAATATTTGCAAATTATACATCTTATAAGAAGCTAATATCCAAATATATATGAGGAGCTCAAACAATTCGACAGCAAGAAAACGAGAATCTCAGCCGAAATATAGGCAAAGCACCTGAACAGACAGTTCTCAAAAGAAGACATATAAATGGTCAAAAGGTACATGAAAAAAATGATCATCAGTCGTCATCAGAGAAATACAAGTGAAAACAGTGAGATATCACGTCCTACCTGCTAGGATGTGTAATTGTTTTTAAAAATTTAAGATAGGTGTTGGTAAGGGTGTGGAGAATGGGGAACTTTGGGATAGGGTAGGTGTGGATCTAAATTAATACAGCCATTGTGGACCACAGTGTGGAGGTGCAGAAAACTAAAAATAGTACTATGGCTTGGATAATATGTGTTCTCCACAGGCCCGTGAGTTGAAGGCTTGGTCCCTGGTGCAGTTTTGGTTAAGGTTGGGGCTTTGGGGAGGTGATTGGATCATGAGGTCTCTGATCTCCTGTAGGCATTGATCCATTGAAGGATTTTTTTGGTGGGGGGGGATTACTAGGGATTGAACTCAGGGACACTCAACCACTGAGCCACGTCCCCAGCCCTAGTTTGCATTTTATTTAGAGACAGGGTGTCACTGAGTTGCTTAGTGCCTCGCTTTTGCGGAAGCTGACTTTGAACTCATGATCCTCCTGTCTCAGCCTCCCAAGCTGCGGGGCTTACAGGGGTGGGTCACTGCACCCGGCCATTGATGGATTTCTTTTTATTCCTTTTAAATTCTAATTTGTTATATATGACAGCAGAATGCAATTCAATTCATATTACTCAAATAGAGCACAGTTTTTCACGTCTCTAGTTGTAGCATTGATGGATTTTTAAATTATTGGTGAAGGAAGATTTAGGATGTGGGGCCTAGTTGGAGGAATTAGGCCATTGGGGTGTGCCCTTGAGGGGGACATCTTATCCCCATAGCCTCCCTCTCTCTTCTTGCTTTCCTTGTTTCCTGGCTGCCATAAAGTGAGCAGCTTCCCTCTGTCACACGTTTCTGACATGAGGTATGGCCTTACCACAGGCCTAAAAGCTTCCAGTCCAAGAAGCTATGCTCTAAAACTCTGAAACTGTGAACCAGAATAAACCTTGTTTCCTATAAGTCTTCTCAAGTATTTTGTCATAGCAGTGGAAAGCTGACTAACGCACATTGAATTATCACATGATGCAGCATTCTCACTTCTGGGTATACATCCAAAGGAATTGAAATTGAAAAGATATCTTCACTCCTGCTTATTTCAGCATTATTCACAGTGGCCAAGATGTAAAATCAACATCAGCATCTATCATTGCATGAATGGATAAAGAAAATGTGATATAAATGTGCAACCGAATACTAGTCAACCATCAAAATACGGAAATTTTGCCATTTGCAGCCACACAGTTGAACATGTTAAGGGAAGTGAGCCAGGCACAGAAATAAAAATACTTGTGTGTGGAATCAAAAGAGTCAAACTCATGGAAAAGCAGAATGACATTTACCCAGACAGTGAGAGGGAGTGGGTGGGGAAAGGGATACCTCTGATGAAAGGTTCAAAGTTTAACTAGACAGGAAGAGTGAGCTTCAGTTATCCGTTGTGTTGACAATGGTGGGTATTAAATGCACAAGGCACTGGATATTTCAATATTGCTTAAAGAAGAATAGATTTCAAGTTATTTTGTCACCAAAAAGGAAGTATGTGAGGGGGCTGATTTTTAAAATTTGCTTGATGTAATTATTCCACAATATAAACACATGTCACAATATCATATTGTACCCCATAAATATATGTAAATATTATTTATCCATTAATTCTCTTGAGAAATTTGTCTCTTCAGAGAGGCCTTCCCTGACCTCCTATCTGAATAGTCCCTGCCCCGTGTCGATCCCCACGGCAGCACCCCACGTATTCCTTACTGACACTGGCCCCAAACCATAGCTGTTCCTTTTTCCTGGGCCACACAGTGGGGAGACTGTCAGGAGGAGTCTTGGCCATCACTGGAGTGGGTCAAAAGATTCTAAGAGATGAATCTTCTGAGAGCGGGGAATGCCCACCAGTGTGAGGTGGACAGAGCTCCCAAAGATCAAGCTGTTAGATAAACTCTAAGGTCCCTTCCCCTCTGATGTTTTGTCAACTTTCCATCCAGTACTTTTTAAGTGGAAGAGATTAGTTCCAGTCATGATCCGTAGCTGGTGTGGATCTAGCCCTCTCAGAGATGATAATTATATACTCTGCACAAAATATTTTAAAGAAACTACTGGAGGTCGCTGGAGAGAAACAAAGAGTCGATAGAATGTGGAGGGAACTTGGCCCTTGAAAGAAGAGAGTCACACACACTAAGTTAGACCGGAGGAGGAGGAGGGCTGCTTGCGTGGTACATCCAGAACTAAGTCAGAGAGCTCAATTGTGTGGGATTTACAAGTGAGTGAGCAGGGTACACACTAACAGAGTAGGGGGAGAATAGGAAAATCTAAAGAGGAGCCCAGCTGTAGGCTCCCAGTAAGGTGGACGGAGGCCTCTGTTGACCGTGTTCTGCAGTCCAACCCTGAAGCAGCCCTGTTCTGCTTTTTATTCAAGCCTAGAGTTGTTATCATGTCTTCAATAAAAGTCTTGCTTTTGTCACTATAGGAGTGCCACCTCCCGGGGGAACATAACTTACAACCATCTGATTGATCTCTTTAGGACATTGCATCCAACAACTGCAACATGCCTGGTCTTTTCAAGTCCATATGGAACGGTCATCAAGATGGACCCTATGAACCAGGATATTAGTCTCAAGGATTGTCAAAGGATTCAAACCTCATAGGCGATGTTCGCTAATCACAAATGAATTGTATTAAAAACAAGAGCAAGAAAATATATAAAAGAGCACTGAAACCCGGAAGATAAACACATGTTTAAACCGCACATGGGTCAAAATTGTTATAGGGAAAATTGACAATAATTTGAAATTAAATGATAAGAAAAATATGACATAGCAAATTACTTTGGATGCGTCTAAAGCAGTACTTAGAGGATGGTGCATTGCTTTAAATGTTTATGTTAGTCAATAAGAAAATTCGAGAATTGGTGATCTGTGCTTCCGTCTTAAAATTCTAGAAGACAGAGGAGCATGTTAAACTTAAAAATAAGGAGAAGAAATTAGGTAATAAATGACAAGAAAAAGTGAAGTAGAAAGCAAAGGAGAAAGTTAAAGAGACCATAAGTTGGTTCTATAAGAGATCAATAAAATGTGTAAATTCTTAGCAATACTGATCCATCTAAAAGAAAAATATACCAACATCAGGAAAATTAAGAGGAATCATGAAGATCCTACATCAAAAAAAGAAATGTTACAAACAACTTTATGCCAATAAATTTCACAACTAAGATGAGATGAATAAGTTGCTTGAAGTCACATATTTGCCAAAACTGATATAAAATGAAACAGGAAATATGAATGGATTTATAAAAGAGATTGAATTCATTATTAAAAACTGTCCCATGAAGAAGAACCAAGCCCATATGGCTTGACTATTGAATTTTGCTAATAATTTGAAAAAAATACCAATACTACACAAATAGAAAAGGAAAGAACACCTCTCAACACTACTTGATGAAACCAACAGTGCTTGGTGCCAAAGATATTACCAAGAAAAAACTACAGACCAGTCTCTTGTGTCATAAAATTTGGGCACAAAAGTCCACAGCAAAAGAGTGTCAAATTGTACCTAAAATATATGTATATAAAAGATTCATTCACTATGACCAAGGGGAATTTATCCCAAGAGTGAAAATTTGGTTTAACAGTTACAAATCAATCAAATGTAATTCGCCACATTAAGCAAATAAATGATTTCAGAAATCATATAATACTCTCAACATATTTAGTAAATATCTTAGAAAATTCAATACCTATTCATGATAAATTCTCATGGGCAACTGAGAGTACCAGGGAGATGCCTTGATATGATAAAGTGCATTTATAAAAACCTATAGTCAGGGTCATACTAGTAGAGATGTAAAATGGCTTTTCCCCAAGACTGGGAACAAATTAAATATGTTTCCCCGCCATTTCTATTCGGTACTGGTGGTTCTAGCTAGAATAATGAGAAGTGAAAGTAGAGAAAGCATTAAGATTGGAAAGAGAGAAGGGAAGAGCTGCTTACAGATGACGTGATTGTTTAAATACACAACCCTAAGGGATCTGTAAACGACTAGTGGAAGCAATACTTGAATTTAATTAGCTTGTTAATATATTGTCAATATAAACCTTCATAGATTAGAAGTCATGGTGCTCCCAAACTGGAAGCATTTCAAATGGCCATCAAAAAGAGAATGGAATGAAAACTTGAGGTTTGTTTATCCAGTGGAAAGCCACTCAGGGATTAAAATAGAATGGCTGTTGAATCATGCAGCATCGATGAAGCTCAGAACGAGTATGCTGTGGGAAAGAAGTCATTAACCAAAGAGTCATATATATGATCGCATTTATATGAAGTTCAAGGACAGGGAAATTAATAAGTGATGTCACACATCCTGTTTTCCTATGGGCGGGGTGTGGATAAACCAGAAGGGGGCGCAAAAGAACTTTCTCAAGTGATAGACTCTTGTAGCAGCATATGCATTTACCAAAACTCAAAGAATTGTACAGTTAACACTGTGCAGTCTAAGTAAATTGTATTACAATAAAAAATATAACTAAATTCCATTAAAAAGTCATTGTTCTCAATAGGATACTTTGATCTTAAGTCAACAAGTTGTTTCTTTTAAAATTTTGTTTTCTACTCAAAGAAGAAATCATGTGTGTATTAGCCTGTTCTAGTTGCCATAACAAAATACCCTGAACTGGGTGGCTTCAAAACAACAGAAATTTACTTTCTCAGAGTTCTGGAGGCTGGAAGTCCTAGCTCAGGGTGCCCAGCATGGTGGGGTTCTGGTAAGGGCTCTCTGCCTGGTTTGCAGATGGCTGCCTGTCACCTGTGTCTTTACACGGGCCCTGTGAAAGGCCCGTGGAGAGTGCTCTCCAATGTCACTTTTTGCAAGAATTCTACTCCCATAGCAAGGGCCCCACACCTATGACAGATCTAACCCTAATCACCTCCTGAAGGCCTTGTCTCCAGATACCAACACATAGGGATTAGGTCTTCGGCACATGAATTCGAGGGACTATATTTCAGTCAGTAGCAACATGCATTCTGGAAAACTTGGAAAGTATAACTAAATGGAAAGAAGAAGAAAAGACATATAATTACATTACAAAAATGTAGCCACTGCTCACGTGATTTATTTTGTTTCCCAAATTTTGTTATTTCAACTTTTACATGGTTATAGGAATCCTACACCTAGGATTTTCTATCAGGATGTTTTAATTTAATGTTACAAGATGAATTTTTTTTTCTGTTACTAGAAACCCTTCTTTGGTGTCCTTTTTAAGACAGCCACAAAAGGCTCATTGAGTGATTATGCTGTATGTCTATTTATTTATTCAATGTCTTGTGGTGGAATGTTGAGCTACTCATCAGTATTTTGCTAGTGGAAATAATGCTGTGATAAACATTCATGCATGTGATTTTTTTTCTATAACTTCAATTTTTTTTTCTGCTGGGATAGAATTCCAGAAAATGGAGCTTTTAGGTTAAAAGGGTTCGCTCTTAATACATACTGCCAAATTCCCTTCCAAAAGGACGGTCCCATTTACATTGCCACCAACAGTGGAGCAGGAAAGTGCTTAGCTGCTTGCTCTTAAAGGGAAGGAGGTCACTTACACTAATGTGCTTATTGGCTTGTTTCCAACAGGTAAGCGAATCCTTCTGAAGCCTACTTCTGGTTGTGCCGAGTCCTGTCCCTGCCTCTGGCTGGAGCCTGTGTCCTGGGCCTCACCTAGGAGTAGACGGGAGCCATCTGCCCCCACCCACAGCCATGAATTTCCTCCGACGGCGTCTCTCCGACAGCAGCTTTGTGGCCAACCTGCCCAACGGCTACATGACGGACCTGCAGCGCCCAGATAGCTCCACCAGCTCCCCCGCGTCCCCCGCCATGGAGAGAAGGCACCCCCAGCCCCTGGCAGCCTCCTTCTCCTCTCCAGGATCCAGCCTTTTTAGCTCTTTCTCCAGTGCCATGAAGCAGACCCCGCAGGCTCCCTCTGGACTGATGGAGCCTCCGGGTCCCTCCACGCCTGTGGTTCAAAGACCCAGGATCCTGCTGGTGATCGATGATGCCCACACAGACTGGTAAGCCGGGGTCTTCAGGTACCACCCCCAGCCGGGGTGACAGCTGACATGGGTTCTGTCTTGCCTCTTGGGGGGAACAGAGGAGGGCCCTAAGGGGCTCAGGTGGTTTCAAAGAATGACCAGAGGGAAGGAAATTCACACTGACCCACAAGGCCCTACAGCATCTGCATCGTGCCCAGTTTTCTTCTAAGACCTCTACATTTACAGGCCCACAATCCCCACCTGCCGGTTTAAAACTTAGTGGCTCTGGCCACTAGAAGATATATTGTCATCCTTTTGACAGCAAAGCCCAATCTGAAGGACAGTAAGGCTATGGCAGTCTGGATTATGTCACTCGGTGTGCTCGTTCATATGACAATGCAAACATCGTAATGTGTTTGATGCGGGCTGCTTCCCGGAACCCACAGGAAATGTTATATACTATATGGATGGAAATCACATGACCTTTCTAATATTGGAAGACTTCTGAAGCCTGAAATGCAGCTGGCAATATTTACCAGATTATTCCTCTTCAGCCTCAGTCACTCTCCATGCCCTAAAATGAGGTTGTTGTAAGGGTGACATAAATCAGTACAGGCCCTTGGCTCATAGCCCAAACCCTTGGGACCAGAAGGCCTCAGTATGTATCCCAGTTACTTCAGCTGCTGGCAGGCTGGCTCCAGAGCCTGTCCTCCTACCACCAAAGGCCCGGAAATGATGTGTTTTTGAGCTGCTTCTCAGACAGCGCTCCCCAAGCTCACTGCAGCGGCCACCAGGTCAGCGACTGAGCTACTGAGCACAGCTGATGTGCTCAGGTCTGGTGGTCACACGGAGCTGCACTTGGGGAATAGGTCTCTCCACTCACTTTGTAGTACTGGGGAGTGATAGATATTATTCATCTAGCCAGAGGCAGAATTTGCTAAAAATTCTGTTACTAAAAACCCTTCTTCGGTGTCCTTCTTCAAGACAGCCCAAATTGTGGAAGCACCGCACTCAGGGCAGAGGAATTCATGGATAGTGTACTAGTCAGTTTTTCCTTGTCTTGACCAAAATGCCTGGGAAGAACAACTTAGAGAAGGAAAGATTGATTTTGGCTCATGGTCTCAGTCCACAGCTGGCTGGCACCAAGCAGAAGCATTGTGGGGGGTGGGGCAGGTGGCAGAGGGAAGCTGCTCATCACGTGACATCCAGAAAGCAGAGAGGGAGCCAAAGGAGCCAGGGACAGGATATAGTCCTAGGGCTCACCCCCTTATCACACTTCCTTCAGCCACATCCCACCTGCTTAAAGTTACCACCCAGTAGTCCATTCAGATTATTAGTTCTTCAAATGAATCAATCCACTAATAAGGTTACAGCTGTTATAATCCAATCTTGCCACCTCTGATCATTGCTGCATTGCCTAACACATGAGTTTTGGGGGAGACATTTCCAGATGGAAACTATAACAGATGTGAAGCAGAGAAATTCTGAAAATGAATCCTCAGGCAGCCCCTGTGTGGCGGGAGGACAAGGTTGCACGTGTGTCTCCAAAGGCCGCCTCGTTGTCCTCACCCAGCCCATGTGTGTTGCATGGATACACGGGGGCACCCCGCTGTTCCATTAGTCTAGCATGAGTGTGGACACTCACATTCCCTCCTTGAGAAGTTACTCAGGTTGGGCTGAGGGAACCTACCCTTTGGAGTGGGAGCTATTTAGAGCTTATAATGCATTCTCAGTATTCATTAGGTCCAGCAGACTCAGACATCAGTCCTTGCATTTCTGCTAAGTAATTGCCCTATCTGAGCCAGGGTGGCCGTGAGCCACCTGAGATCTGATCCAGTCTGAATGCTGTCCGAGCCGCTGCTTGCTGGAAGGTGCTCATCGCAAAGTTTATCCTCTCTGCTCATTCCCTCCCACAAAGTGTGGCCCTCGGGTCTGAGCTTAGGGCTTGTTGTCTGCAGAGTTACTGTTTTCCAGGCAAGGCTGTTGCCTGTCTGCCCCATCATCAAGAGACTATAAAAGTCTTCTGTTGACCTTTAACCCAACATTTGACCTTGATTTAGAGTGTTCTTTGCTGGCTGTGTTATCTGATACTCAACTTTGTCTGAGAAGTTGCTTCCTCAATGGAGGTGGAGTTGAATACATAGCAGCGTGATGTCATGGTTCAGGATAAGACATCACAGCGAGGCTGTCTGAGCTCAAATCCCATCTTTACCACATAGTGACCATGTGACCTCTGTAAGTCACTGCACCTAAATGCAGAACCTACCCCATAGAGTTAGTATATGTAAGTAGGGTTGACACCTAAGTTAATGTGAACATGTGTAGTAGGTGTCTGGCCAAGAGAAGGTGCCGTTTAAATGCATGTTGGTGTTTTGCAGACTGTTATAACCTTCCTGTGTCCCATCAACCAACCTGACAGCAGCCCCGTGGGCAAGCTAGTTTAATCTCTTCATGCCCAATTCTGGGCAACCTGGACAAGGTTTGTCCCATTGGACTGGGTTTTCCTAGGTCTTCCCTGCTGGCTCTTGGCTGACAAAATTGGATCTTGTCAATCTCTGTCTCTGTGTGGTGTGTGACTCAGTGTTGGGGCACAATGAATAATATTGGGATGCAATGAATAGCCTCATTCATGTGACGCTTAAATTTTGGCTCTGGTCTCAATCTCCACAGGAATGGCCAGTGTATACATTTTGGGTCACGCACACTGGTGGGGACTGCTGGCCAGAGCAGTCTCCCTGATTATATTTTAATCACATATCACATGTGCTTTAATTAGGTCTTGAGAACAACTACCTTTGGTCCATGGCATATTTTGTGGCCCTTGGTGGGTTAAGACAGAGGAGAAGAAACAGATCCACGGACTCACCTGGAAGTTGGCTTTGTTGTCCACTGGCTGTCTGTGACAGAGACCTCCTGCCCCAGACCATCAGCCTTTCAAATGGAGCTCCGTCCGAGAGTCTCCATGAACTTCCTAACTTCTCTGAATGCTTCCCCGCACTGATGCTGGCTGCCTTCAAGTTTCAATCCTGCCTGTAGAATTCCCCACACGCCTGTCCCTGGTTACCAGTAGCAGCCAGCAGGGGGCGAGCCAGCCCCGCGGTCCCAGCAGCTCTGGCAGAGCCTGGCAGCCAGGGTTCAGCCCCCTCCCCAGGCTCCCTCATTGTGCAAACTGTCTGCAGAGAGGAGGAAGTTGTTAAAGGGAAGACGGCAGCTCACACAGCCCCTTTCTTCCCGCTTTGAGATGATAATGAGGGGGGAGCCCATCCACTGTCTGGACTGAAGAGCTCCCCCCCACCCGGGGACAATGCAAATGTGGTCCCCTTTTCTACCCGCCTCAGCCCCAGATGCTGGGGCTCTGTCTTCCCTCCTGGTCCAGGGCCTCCTGCAGCACCAGGTTTCCTTGCAGAGAGATGAGGGGATTGTAGGAAGCCTCCTTCTTCTCCTGGGGCGTCCAGCTTTCAGATTCTCAGAACCACTGGGGGCCTCCCCAGGACCATCGGACACCTGGCCAGGGACCTCAGTGGGGGACTTTCATCCTCTGAAGAGAAGTAGAGGGTTCCAAAGCCACCTTTGCTGGCAGAACTCTTGACCCAGCATTCAAAGATGCAGCCACCTGTTGGGGCTGCCTGAGGAGGTGACCCTGGCTAGGCAAGGGGGTGGGAGGAGCCCGGGCCACCCCCTGAAGGCCAGCTCCATGGCAGGTCTGAACTGTCTTCCGGGCCTGGGGCAGGTCAGTCTTGAGAACCCCCCAGGGAAGGAGGATGAGATGAGTGGGTCTCAAGGTCAGTGTTCTTCCCCCACTCTGCACTGGTGCTCTTGCCTGGGATTCCCCAATAGCTCCACAGGCCTCCAGGCTGGACCCTGCCTCCCATCTACCCTCCACGTCACCACCTCCGTCACCACCTCCGTGTTCTCCTCCTGAAGCACAGATCAGCTGCAGTTGGCTTCTCCCCCACCCCCTGCCCCCACGTATCTCCTTTTACAATCCTTTGCTGCTGCATCGTTGACCTAAAATGTGCAAGTTCAAAGTCATTAGCATGTCTGGCCTGCCTCTGGTTGTGTCTCCAGCTCCACTTCCTGCTTTGGGGTTTATTCTGCAGGAATACAAAACAGCTCGTGGTTCTCAAGAGCACCTCTGTACCTTGGCCTTTTCTGTTCCCTGCTTCCAGAACACTCTTCTCTGTCACGTTCACCTGGCCAGTTCCCATTTAGTCTTAGAGGACTGCTCAGCTGTTCCCTTTTCTGTGAAGCCTTCCCCAACATGCCCAGCTAACAGTGCTAAAAAACCACTGCTCCTGTGTAAACTTAAAACATTCCACTGTGCCACACTGGCACATGCCACACTGTATTAAAATTGCCTCCCATGAGAATGAGACCCATCTCTTTTTTTTTTTTTTTTGCACCAGGGATTGAAACCAGGGATGCTTAACCACTGAGCTATATCCCCAGCCATTTTTATGCTTTATGGAGAGACAGGGTCTTGCTAAGATGCCTTTCAGCTTTGCTGAATGGCAGAAGCTGGCTTCAAACTTGTTATCCTCCTGCCTCAGCCTCCTCTCTCGAGATGCTTGGATCACAGGAGCGCGCCACCACACCTGGCTCATTTTTCTCTATAACCCAAGTGCTCAGCACATTGCAAGTGTTCAATCAGCCCATGCCCTTGTCCCTGCCCCCGCCCAATCAGGATAACTTCAGTAGACATAGTAGGCCTGAATGTGCCTTACCTTAGGGGTCAGCAATATAGAGCGCAGAGTTGAGGAATTTCTGTCTTCATGAGCCCGTGTAGAAAGTCCTGGCTATTTATTTTTCAGGATGCCAGAGTCACTGTGAGGCTGATATTTGAGACTGTTTAAGAGGGAGGGGGTTATCACCTATAGAATGCACCAGAATCTCATATTTTGATTCTCAGAATCAAAATATTTAACCTACCTCCCCCCTAAAAAAAAAAAAGCCATGACCACATAGTGTTGGCTGCTTCCAGTCCCCCTACGAGGCCTCTGGAGTTGAGAGGGTGGGAAGGAGGGGCAGGGCCAGGTGGA